AAATATCATTAATATCATAAACTCTTTAATGACAAAATAATATTCTTAAATAATACCATAAGCCCCTTTAAAAAGATCAACTTCTAAAGTCCTACATTAAGGTGATATTACGGGTAAATTTTGTTTATCTTTTTTGAAATTTCTACTACTACTGTTGAAATATTTTTACAAGTAAAATCTATTTTTAACAACTTTAATAAGTATCAGTTCTGGATTAAATCTAAGTTTCAGAATCAATACTGTTTTCCAGCAACGTGCCAACTCACCTAACAGCCGTGGCTCTCTGGATGAGCATCTCTGTTTGCTCCGACAAGTCTGATGGAAGCAGCAGCTCCACAGGCTGTAGGCTCAATATCCGAGTTTCCAGCTCTGAACGGGAAGCAGAGTCCTGGAAACTATCAAACACAACCTCACCTGTGGCAGGCAGCACTCCCTAAAAACAAATAAAAATAGAATGTCACAGAAAAGATTTATTTTTCCCAATAATAAATGACACAGCATAAATAAACATGGAAATAGTGAAGATGACACACTCACTAGTACGTACTCCATCTCTAAAGTGTTTGAAAACCTGTTTGCTTTCCAAGACTCTTACTGAAGAAGTCAGATTCACCATATGCTAGATAGGATTTTAGAGAGACACCCCGAGTCCAAGTCCTGGATCTAACACACCTGACAGAGTGACCGTCACAAGTCACCAAACCCTATTGGGCCTCGGTTTCCTCCTCTGTAAGTAGGAATAAAACAGACCCTACTTCCCTTATAGGGTTAATCTAAGGGTCAAATCAGAAAACTAATGTGAATGTTTGTAAACTGTAAAGCACTGTACAAATAGTAGCTGTCATCATTAAAAGTCATAAATTATATGTTCCTAGTAACCTGGCCACCAGAGTAGCAAGGAATTACTATTTCATTACATAAAATTAATAAATAAAAGTATAATTTTTTCCAAAAACAAAAAGAAATATAACAAACCTGAATGAACCCCGTGTAGACTGTGTAGATAGGTACTCCCCTACCCAGGGAAATAACCAGGATAACTAAAAGCCACCTCCATCACCCCAAGCCAACAATAGCAGAAATAAACTGGAAAAGATCATTTTTGGAAGAAGTGAAAAAGTTAAGAAATGTACCCAAGATCGCAGGGTGATAAAATGGTGGAGCCAAGACTCACGTAGTCTGATTCCACAGGCCACACTCTTATCCACTACTGAGCTTAAGAAATGTAATAAGGGGCTAGTTACAGACTGCATTAGCTGACGGGAGGAAAAACAACCAAGCCCTACACTCCTACGCTGCTGACGGAAAGTCAACTGACAGCCTCTTCAGAAGACAGCCTGGCATTTTTCTAGGAAAGTTGAAAACAGCCATACCCTATAACTTAGCAATTCCTCCCCTAGGTATAGACTCTGGGCATATGTATACCAGAAGACATGTACAAAAAGGTTTATAGCAGCATTTTCTGAACAACCAAAAACTGGAAAGAACCCACATGTCCATCAACAGAAGAATGAATAAACTCTAGATAATAAAATGAAATACAATGTAGCAATAACAATGAACGAACTACTACAGTAACACATGTAAATAAATCTTATATACACAATAAACAAAAGAAGCAAGACCGAAAAGGATATATACAACATGTTTGTACATAGTTTATACAAACTATACACTATATATAATATACTAGACATTTAATATATAATATAGTATTATTATATTAGATAAAGTATAATATACAATATATTTGTATATAGTTTCAGGTGGTAAAACTGGAACTAAAAGCAAGGAAATTATTATCATAAAAGTCTGGATTACGGTCACCTCTGGAGGGAAGGGGTCCTTCTGTAGGCAGTGCTATACTTCCTGACCTGGGTGGTTGTCGCACACTACACTGTAAATTTCTGTTTTATGCACTTTTTCGCTTGACTATTTTATAATGTTTTTAAAACCCTCATTTTTGGCTCAAGGAATTTCCTTAATTCTAGCCCAGAGGCCTTCTCTAGTGTTCAGATCAGATTAGTACACACATATCAGCTTATCTCCCAATCTACAAACCAAACATTTACAGAAGTTCAAGTAACAAATTTATCAGCCAAATTCCCCTGTGACTTTTTAAATCAGAGAAATGGTCTATATTGTAATACTCGCAACATCTATTACTCTGTGTAATACGATGACACTGAGAAACCCAAAGTCAACCTGTATAAAACCATGCGCTGCCCAGACTGACGGAAGAGGGCCTGATCACAATGGTACTACAACAGGAAAGCCTCTGATTTAAGACTAACTACCAATACCCAAAAAACGACTCCTAGGAAGTAGCTGGGGAAGGTGTGAACTCATCACAACAGGGAAAACCCAGCAAGGGCAGTGTTGAGGGTAAAGGAAGATGAGGTCCCTTTCAGCCAGTTTGAGAAGTCAGGGCAAATTCTGAGTGCCTTGTCCAATAAAGAGCTGGAAGCAGGAGCCTGGAGCTCAGGAGAAAGGTGCAGCCTGGACCCGGAGTTCTGGATGTCATTGGCCCAAAAGTGGTTACTGAGGTCAAGGACAGGTGCCAAGAAAACGCTTGAGAGGCTAATTATCATTTCCCATTTTTTCGCATCCCAGTTCATACACTACGGTTAACTTTGGCAGTAGGCCAGAGGGTATTTCTAAAAGCACTAAGCAGCAGTTACTACTGTCAACTCGGTTCTTCAGACTGAGTTTCGGGTAAATATAAAATAGCACATTACATATGTTAAAGCTTAAAAGCAAATAACCTTACTATCTGTAGACACGCCCAACTGCCTGAGGCTAAATAAAAAGTGCTTCTCAAGGATAAAAAAATCACTTAGAGCCATTCAACAGCAATGCTAACTCCCTGCGAGAAAGGCTTATTGGTTAAGCAAATGTCAAATGAACACAGTTATGCAGCCAGAATAAGAAATTAAAAGGTACTTTGGACACATTCGGGTTCTAAGAATTTTTGTTGATATTGTAGCTGATTGCAAAAGTCAGAAAAAACAAAGAGAATTAGTTATTACTTAGGCAAGGAGTCCTACTTTTGCTTAACAGAACAAAGGAGTCTAACAGTTCTGAAGAGCCCTAAAATGTCTAAGATTTTGAGCAGAGTCCAGGTAGGTCTGAAAACGGGCAAATCTGCTCACAAATTGCCAGAAGGGAAGATCAATAAAACTATGATTCATAAATTATATTCACCTGGAAGACTCATTGTAAATATTCCTAATATTAATTAAACATGGAGTCTAGTATTGGCCAATTATAATTTCCCCTTTAACTATCCTTTCCTCCAAATCTACATATGAGAATCTCATAATCATTTGTGTTTAATTTCACATCTCTAGAGGAAATATGTAAAAGCTTTTGCTAACCATGCATGTGTTGGCTTAGTGTTTTATTCTGCCATCTGTACCCTGCCCACATGCATGCTTGTCACTGTGTCTATCTTCAGCCCTAAACTCCTAGAGCACATGGACTGAATCTATCTGGATCTCTCCATAGCACAGAGTGCCAAGTAGCCATATGAGAACACAATTATAACCAGTGGTTTAACATATAAAATTACGAGGAAAATGATTTTCTAGTGCAATTACTTGAGGGCACAATTCATCAGAGATCCTCATTACAAACCACACATGATTACTCATATCTAGAGACACCATGAACATCTATCACTCGTTCTTTAGCTACAAAGTACTTACCACGATTCCAATGAAAATGTTCCCCTTTTTTTTGTCTTTAACATTTTCCTTATTTTCACAGATACACAGAAGATAGCTTGTAGAAGTATCAGTCGTTATCTCATCGACATTTACAGCATCATCTAGCTTGACTAGAGGATTCACATGTAATAATTATTAAAGAAAAACATACGCTACATTCCCATTAACATTAACTGTTTTCACCTTTAAAATAATGATTCGTTTTCTTGAGCATTTTTGCTCTGTGCAAAAATCTTCCACACAGCAGTCATTCTTCTGATTTACTCTGATCATAGTGACATGCCTTATCTTCTCCAAGATATAAGGCTCATGACGACAGACAACTATCATCTTCTCACTTCCAAAGGGCCTAGGAGGTACCTCTGACCCCTTGGAAGCCTGAATATCAACCTTCTTCTCTACTTGGACAGTCCTAAGACTTGAATCCTTAACAATTCCATAATGTTTAACTCCACAAATCAAAGCATGCATATACTAAAATAGTGTAAATTATATTCCTCCCTGATAGTGCCTAACAGCTCCCAGAAATAGCAAGAGAATTTTTAGAAAAGAAAACTAGAGAAGAAAACAGAAATATACGGGGGGGGGGGGTGGAAAAGCTGATTTTGGACGAAGTCAGTCTGGGAACATCCAACTTGGGCATCAGCAGATACGAGCTATAGCAGCAACGAAGGAGAAGGGAGGGGCACGTTTTGAGAAGCAGACTTCAAATAAGAGACTCAAGTTCAGGAAAAAGGGACAATAAAATTACCAGGTTCTCACAGCCTCATCAGCTTAGAACAACACAGAGCTGTTTACAGTTTGGGGTCCACTCTGAGTGATAGCCGTTCCCTGTTTGTGGTATTAATGGAACACAACAGTCTTCAGAATTTGGGTAGAAGCTAAGCAGGACTCTAAATAAGCAGATTTGTAATAAGCCATAACCGAAATATTACCTTCACACAGTATCATTTAGGACCTGATCCCTATTTATTCTGAGACCTGCCCCCATTCCATAGTAAACATTTTAAAACACACCCTTATCTCAAATTATATATAATTATTTAGTTTTAAAAAAATTGACACAATTGTATGACTTTGCTATTGAAATCATTTTACTTCAAGTAACTCACTGAATTTATGAATGAGCATAAATTTGGGAACAATCACTGTGTATACTGAGGATTTCTGCAAAGTAAGAAAGCTTACAATCCATTTTCAAAAATAGTAAAATTTTTTACGAAGCTAACAATTAATGAAGATGGTCTACTATTATGTTCTATAAACAGTTAACTGCCTGCTAACTTTGTAGTTTTCTTTTCTCATTTTGAACTTCATAGGTTATTTTTTAGGTCTCATCTTAGGAAGATCTGGAGGAGCTCGCAGGCCCTAGATACCTAACCACCGCCCACAGGGGTCTAGGGAAGATGCAATTTCAAATCACTTGCTAACCTGTCATCACCTTCCATCAGGCTCTCTTTCTTCTTGTTCTTCAAGTATGACAAGCTCCTCTTTCACTACGGCATTTGAAAAATGCTTATTTCCAGCCATCACCAACCCTTCCCTCTTCAGAAGCACACTGATCAAATGTCAAAGTAACTATACAGTCTCATCTCACCAAAAAGATACCCATTCAAAGAACAGTTTAAAAAAAAAAAACACAACTTTGGTATTTAAAACAAAATCCTTGAAACATTGAAGAGAAAAATTCCTATTCAAAAAGGATATCTTCTCCAATAAGTGTAGATTTCGTATAAAGAGCAGTCAATTTCCGGGAAAAGAGAGAACTTTTGTTGTCCCCAATGGCCTTTAACGCTGCTGTTTCAGTTTGCTTCACAACTCCCACCTTCAACAAAAATAAGAAACATTGAATATCAAATACATGGAAATTTTTTTAAGAAAACATACTTTCAGATTTTAAAAAGCTAAATCTGAAACCTTTAAAGTAAACAAATTAGGCCACAATGCCCAGATGCAGGGCTTAGGTAATAAGCACCACAAGGAGCTTGCCTATGTGGATGAACCACTGAGAAACACTATCACAGAGTCAAAAAAATTTTAGCCTAAACACTAACACGTTAAAAACTCATGAAGATATAAGGCTAATAATTACAACACACTTTCATTTCTCCGAAATGCCAAATTCCAAAACCAGTTACAGCCCACCACCTTACAAAACACGTTCTCACTCTCTGGAGGAGAATCCAATCCCCTGTCCCACAGGTGGAAGCCAAAGCTGACCTTATACCCCTTTGCCACAAGGCGGCGGACATGAACAAACAGTCTGTGGGTGGGTATGCTTGCCGTCATAAAGTTGTGATCTAAATGGCAATAAATATTGAGCTCCCGGGCTGCAATCTGAAAAATAAAAAAAGAGAATGTCAATGAATTTCTGTCTCAAGATTCCCTGTGCGGTGTTTATTGACTCCATTAAAAATCCGCAAGGTACACACTTAGGACTTGTGCACTTCTCTATCTGAGTGTATATCAATAAAAAGCTTAAAAGACATTCCCTATGTTGAAGCCTATGGTTAAATCTATTTTTGGCAGTTCCCATGGCCTAACCTCAGGGCCAACATCTGCATCTATAAACGACTCAGAAAAATATGACAGGCCTTCTTTTATGTCCTTAGATCTATCAAACCATAAACTGCTGAGCCTTCCCTACACAAGGACTATTCAACAGAGAGAGCACAGGCTGTAAGGAAATAAGAATTTGCTACATAGCACACGCAAATAAATGAAAATTAGGAGATACTACAAAGTACTATGAACCTACTTGGACAGTGGGCATCTTTGAGGCGGTGAGAAGAGAACCCCTTGGTTTGGTTAGCTAATTAATGGTGCATGAGGGATAGGAATGCAGAACCAGGCAGCACCACCTGACTGTTTGCTTTCTTCTAGAAAGCACCATGGCTGAGATATTGCCCACTGGAGCCATGGAACTCTCATGCCAACACTTTCGCTCCCCTACCCCACCCATCTCTGCACTGAATTAGTTCAACACTGCAGGGTAGGAAAACATCAGCCTTTACTTTTGGTCAAGACTGAATTTATCATTTGACCTAGAGAGGAAGGCAGAGAACAGCATTTCCTCTCAACCCTTCACCTATAGGATGCCAAATACACGTCTGTCCCTGTCCTCAGGAAATATGCTGACTCTGTTTCAAAGTCTAATTTCCTAACACAGAACACAGCATAATCTGAACTAGAGAACATCACTTTCCTGCCATAATAGGATTTAGGATATTGGAAGAAGAAAGTTAACCAAGTCTTCACGTCCCATGCATGAGGCAGCAGATGTGTCACCTCATTACTCTCTGATGATGTAGGATGCAACCAGGCCTAAAACTATGGAATCTTCACAATCATCCATGACTCCAACTAAGCGTCACCAGCAATACTTTCTCTAAACTTGCCCTTAAATGCTCAAATTCACTTCTAACCTTCTTAACTTGGGCCTACATCAGGTACCCAAAATTAAATACAAACCCAACTTAGACTAAGACAGCAAGATGACTGAGATACACAGAGAGACCTGAAAGCCTTCAAACACCTTCTACTGGTGGCTGACAAAGTTAGTGTGCTCTTCCATTGAGACTTCACTATGTTCCCAGCTATGAAAATTCATAAATTAAGGTTAAACAGAGGAACTTCCATACATCTCAAAATTTTTTTCTTGCTTGAGTCTTCATTTGGAAACATAAATACACGATTATTCGCTAACTGATTCATCCAATCAACTTTCAACGGATGAAAGGTACCATGGAAAACAAGCACCGACATTCCAATAGGGACCCCTCACCTCCTTCCCCGAAAGTCTAGCACCGACCAAGTTTGCTTCTGTTTATTTTTAGTTTTTACTTTAAATGACAGCATTTTTAAAGAGTAATTGATCACATTAGCTTTTTCATAAGGTCAGAAAACGAAACAAAAATACTGGAAAATATTTGGGCCTGGACAAGAAAAACATGAAACAGTGTCTGAAAAAACAACTTACCTCTGCATCTTCCCCAAAGAATCTATACTTATATCCACATTCCACACACAAAATGGCATCTTTCTGCTGCTGCTTCATTTCCATGTATTGTAATTCTAACGGCGTGTAGATGCTCTTGGTCCGTTTGTTAGATGGCTTAGAATCAGAAGTCTTCTGTAAGTTTTCATAACTCCCAGGTGATGATGCTCCAGAATGGCTGAGATCAAAAAGTGTCTTATCCTGGCAACCAAAATATTTTTATAGTTTGAAAAGTACTAACTATAATAATAGTTCCCAGAGAGAGAGAATGCAAATTCAGCACAAAGCTAACAATTGGTGAATCTTAAGTGAAAGGTTTACAGGAGTATATAGTATATTCAAGCAAATTTTTTTGTAGTTTGAAATTTTTTCAAAGTAAAACACTAAAAAAACATGAGCCAAACTAAACTACCGTATAATTATTTAAGCAAATTTTAAAAGCCTAAACATTTTAATGTTTTATATACTTCTTTTTAAAATTTGATTTCATTAAACCTATTGTAATTAACATTTTTCTTTTCATTATTCATTCCCAGGTACGTAAGGCACAAGAAAGTCAGCAGGCATAAATCTCTCTCAGCAGTAAGGCAGAAACACTTTCAACAAGCATACAAGCAGCTAAAGCTGCAATATTTTACATTTCCAAGCACAGTCTAAAAGACAGTATACCCCTTAAAGCTTTACTTCAAGAAAGAATCACGATTAGAACTTCTGGAACGCATAAAGCACAAGGTTACATTTTCAACATTAGTATTCCTGGTATCCTTACTTTCCCGTATGAAAACCATAATTAATTCCAATTCACAGCTTAGAGCAAATTCCTTGTACAAGAGACTTATTTACACAAGAAGTAAAATGAGACAAATTTTTAGGATAAATCCATCTTCCAATTAATTGTCACTGTGTCACTGCCAACATCTAAAACTTTACTAGCTATCCCTAGAATTAAAAATATGGTCTAGGGGCCAGCCCGGTGGCACAAGCAGTTAAGTACACACGCTCCGGTTCAGCGGTCCGGGGTTCGCGGGTTCGGATCCCGGGCGCGAACCAACACACTGCGTGTCACGCCATGCTGTGGCGGCGTCCTATATAAAGTGAAGGAAGATGTGTACGGATGTTGGCTCAGGGCCAGTCTTCCTCGGCAAAAAAGAGGAGGATCGACATCGAATGTTAGCTCAGGGCTGATCTTCCTCACCAAAAAAAAAAAATTTGGTCTAAAAAACTAGTGACCAACAGGGGAAGAAAAGAGAGAAAGAAAGGTCATATATGGCCCAGGGAGGGCAACTCTACTCCGAGAGAAAGCCCAGAAACGTGTACTTTATAGTTGCTAAATGTTTAAAAAAAATCAGCTTAACTAGGATGGCAGGTAGAGACGCAATTTATCTGAATAGTGTAGCCCAGCAAACTCCGAAGATCAGCAATAACAAGACAGTGAGGCCTGGAGAGGTGTGGCAAGAGAAAAGTGGGTCAATATATCAGAGTGGAGAATGTATTTGCTTTTACTTTTGATGGGGATTTTCTACTTTGTTTCCATGACTTTTATGTAAAATCCAGGAATACTACATATTGAGGAACTCAATATTTTAAAAAATATATTTCCTAGGGAAAAAAGTTTGTACTTTATACCTTATTCATATACTGAATGAGAGTAGGCATCCAGAAAAAAAGTTTTATCCAATGGGATATTAATAAATAAGTCAATCTGAATATTTGAGTATTAAGCAACTTTTTTCTCATCATTTGGGTGGAAATACTCCTCAGATATATTATACTCTTTTTCATATTCCCAGAGACAGCATTCTGAACTCAATATAATATTGTCTTTAAAATTCAGGGCAATCAGAATAATAAAATGGGAATTTCAGAACCAATCAAGACTTTGGGGGTTGCTGACCCCCACACTAAGGATCCCAGACCACTGGGCATTTAAGTTCATTCATCTGTGTCCTTCCACACCATCAAATAGTCAGCTATCACTTGTAGTAATATCCACGTACTACTTCTAGGTGTCCCTTCTAACTGGTTACTTCTAATTTGCTGTGAATCAGAAATGCCAGGGCCGGCCCTGTGGCTTGGTGGTTAAGTGCGTGCGCTGCGATGCTGGCGGCCCGGGTTTGGATCCCGGGTGCGCATCGAGGCACCGCTTCTCCGTTCATCCTGAGGCCGAGTCCCACATGCAGCAACTAGAAGGATGTGCAGCTACGACACACGGCTATCCACTGGGGCTTTGGGGGGAAAAAATAAAGTGAATAAAATCTTTAAAAAAAAAAAAAAAAGAAAAAAAAAAGAAATGCCAAGTAGGTCATTCTATGTTTAAAGCAATAGTAAATAAGCTCTCATGAGGGTAAGTTGTCCAATTAAGAAACGAGCTTTAATAGACACATTTTTTGACCTCTATTCTTCATGACCACTACACTCAGGCGAACTGCTCCTAAGTAATGAGAGATTAAAAATAAGAACAAACACACTTTTTTTTCCTGATGATCTAAGATAAGTCAATGGATCTTAGTCTGGCTGAAGGAGTTGTTCATGATCTGGACTTTGTGGGAAGGAATGTGAACTTCTGAGAATTATACACAAAATTTTGTCGGTCTGAGTATTTTTCTGAGGAAAGAGTCTACAGCTTTCATTACATTTAAATGACTCAAAAAAAAATGTTAAGACTATTTCTCTAATTCAGTGGTTCTCAATCATGACTACAGATTAAAATGAGGGCTTTTAAACGATATCCATGCCCAGTTCTTATTGAATACCAATTAAATGTGATTCAGAGGAAAGGTTCTTGCTAAGGGTATTTTTTAAAGTTCTTCAGGTGATTCTAATTTAAAGCTGGGCTGAGAACCACTATTCTGAATTGTAGATTTGACTGATGGAGCAAGAGTTAAATGCCGTGATTTTGTAATGATGAAAAACATTAATAAATCACAAAACAGTTGAAGTAAAGAGCCATATTCATTTGGTTTAGCTTTGAATTTACTTTATATCAGCCAAGATTTCAAATGAAAACCTCAAAACATCCATATATGTTGTACACCACGATTGCCCAGGTTAATCACGGAGATCAGAAGGAGGACTATAAGAAACTGTGCTTGAGGCCGGCTCGGTGGCGCAAGCGGTTAAGTGCACGCACTCCGCTGCGGCGGCCCGGGGTTCACCGGTTCGGATCCCGGGCGTGCACCAACGCACCGCTTAGCAAGCCATGCTGTGGCGGTGTCCCATACCAAGTAGAGGAAGATGGGCATCGATGTTAGCCCAGGGCCAGTCTTCCTCAGCAAAAAAAGAGGAGGATTGGCAGATGTTAGCTCAAGGCCGTTCTTCCTCACAAAAAAAAAAAAGAAAGAAAAAAAAAAAAGAAATCGTGCTTGTATTAATAATCAATAAAGAACCCCCCCAAGTCAACAGCTCCTAATCCAGGCTGAACCTCAGAATTACCTGAGAGGCTTTTGCTTTGTTTTGTTGTAATATAAACCAATTCATCCCTCTTTAACACACAGTAAATCACAATCTCTAGGGATTTAAAAATAAAATAAAATAAAAAGCAAAAGCTCCCTCAACTAATTCAGATGATCAGCCAAGTTTGGGAACCTCTGCCCGAAGTGAGCCCACAGAACAAACGGCACTTCAGAACCTCCTATCCTGGGCAGTAGGACATTCATCTATGTAAGCGTTACATACCTTTCGACTAGTTTTAGATTTGGAATCTTCAGAAGAAACTGCATTCTTTGCACGCAGATGACTGATATCGTCAAAATCAGTACACTTTGGTAGAACTGCAAATCTCTCCTTAAGAGGCTCTGTCTGGGCTCTATTTTGAGGAAGGGCAGAATCGCGGCAGAATTCTTTCAATTTTTCCAGAGACTTTAAAACAATCTTGGTCCTCAGACATTTCTTTGGCTCTTTGTTAGCAAATCAGAAGAAAATATAACAATAGCATTTTGTCTCATTATGTCGATTCATAACCAGCATAGGATTTTTAAAGAGGGAGCTTCTCACGAAAGCAATAAATCTAACTATAACGTGATAAGGAAATAAAAAAACATTGGGTTTAGGGGCAAGATGGCATATTGAAACATGCATGTAATTTCACTTAGTCCTGAAACCCCATTAAAACTACAGCGGCGTTTTTCTTTTTTTTTCTTTTTTTCTTTTTTTGGGATATAAGCCCATAAGGACAGAGAGAAAAAGAGAGGTGACAACTGCAAATGAAATATCTGAGGCTAGAAGGAAAAATGAATGAGTAATAATCAATTTAGCACATCTGAAAGCCAAATCCTAAGTCAGTAGTGAAGAAAACCAAGAACCAATCCTGTTTTACAACACAAAATGCTTAAAAGGCTTAGGAATTAGGGCACCAGTCCCTCCGGAAATGGAATAAAGGGACGCTCTAACATAAAGAGGATTGGTTCAAAGCAATTTGATTCCTAGACCCCTACCCCACTCCAAGCTCCAGGGCAGCTGTCCTTCCTCCACCTCAGGGGAGGACTGGAGATTTCTCTGGAAAAGGCAAACAGGCACAATCGAGATGCAGTACTGTGCCTAAGCCCAAATAATGGGAATACAGCCTTACTGCACGCTGAGAAACCCAGCCTCTTGTCACCAGCTCAGAACACAGGCCGCCAGACCTCTCCCCTCCAGGCAGGAGTTGTGACGACTCCAGACTGGGGAAACTGACAAGCTCAATGGGAAAGACCTAAAGATACTGACACCAGCGGCTCACCAAGGAAATCAGATCGCCACCCCAGACACACCTGCTCTCCTGCCACCACAGCTGTGCTGACGCTCTTCTTTCTCCCTGGAATGTCCCTGACTCCCACTTCCACATGTCAAAGTTGTACTCATTCGTCAAGACTCATCTCAAAGCTACTTTTCTCGTGAACCTCTCTGCTAATTCCTCCAGCTTAAAGTCATCTTTTCTTTGTCTGTGTTCCTATAACAAGATCACATCTCTCTATAGCACGCATCATAGTCTGCCAATTAGCAGTTATTCACAAGCAAGCAATCCGTAAAAGAAGGGAAACTCTCATTTACTAGAGATCTACTGAATACATTATTGCCAGAATATGCCAGAATACATTATTTCACCCTTTAAAGCAATACTACTAGGTAGCTACTATTAAATATAAGGAAACTGGGACTGCCTTTGTCATTTCTTACCCTCCCTTTTAAAGCAAAAACACTCTGAGGGTAAGAGTTGTGTTTTGTTCATTTCTAAAAGTTTAAAACTTATCATTTTTATATTTAAACCATTTTTCAGATATATACTTTATCTTTTCTCCTGTTAATCTCACAGCTAGAAAAATGTATATTTGAATCTCTTTTCAAATGTATATATTCACCTTATTTAATACTACTCTCCCCTTTTCAAACGAATTCCTGAATCACTCCTCAAAAGTATATGTAAGTTAGTATATTAGACAAGGATTTCCCTCCTATGAATATAAAAAAACTTCCCCAGGATGGGGGTGGGTGCAAACCTCGGGGCTGTACTCACGTTAAAAAAGAATATCTAAAACTGAAGTGTTAAAAGCTGAAGTCAAGTAGCTAGCGACTCTTCTGGCTGGTGGATGCTCCTCTTTTCTTCTCATTATTTATTTTTTAAAGTAAGCAGTAAAGTTTATATATCAAAAACGTCCATGTCTATGGCCTTATTTCCACAAACTTCAGGGCTCACTTGGCCAGATGTGGAGCACTGTGGATCTCGGGACAAGACTTAGAGTGTGTGTGCTAAGATCCCTTGAAGGCTTACTATCGTGCCCTCCTCCTTACTACCCTTCCCTACTGCCCTACCCTACTCCCACCACTACTAAGTAAGATTCACCACAAAGCTCCCTTCCTGAGCTGCTGTCAGTTCAGAACGGCTTACGTCAGCTCAGGTCTGATCCGGGATTGAGCCCATATCTGTCTCACCTCTCTGCAACACTTCCACACCTCTTAAAATTTTGTTTTCGTTTTTCAGGGTGCCCAACTTTCATCCTTAGGCTAGACTGACTTTCTGTGTGTGCTCCTCAGCTCAAGAGTCAAGAAGTGAGGCATCCCACCTTGTTCATTTATGTTAAGCCATTATGATTCCTGAACTAAAAAATATAGTAAGAGAAAGAACTGGTACACAAGAAATGACCCAAAATTACAGTTTTCTCTTAATGCTCCTAGAACCATCATACCTTGACTCATCTAAAAGAAAACTGGGGAATTATGAGCATGTTATCTGTGAGAAGAACAAAGCTTACAATGGAAAGACAAAATCTTTCATTGCCTCCCTCACAGATACCTAAGAGAGGTTTTAAAACCTCAAAAGGCCTTCAAGGGGGAAAAACAAATGGAAGCTTTCTCAAGTGAAAAGTCCCAAGAGCTACAAAAACCTTTACACCTGAGAAAAGACAGAAGCATAGCCCCAGTCCCTCCATTGGGACTTGAGAAAGAAATTGTAATCACTGTGAAAACCTGGCTCTTGGAAAAGTGAGTGCCCAATACACCTTAGCAACCTCCATCTTCTGCTCCTGTACTTAAAACGTCACTTGTACCAAGTACCACGCCTTCATATTTCCGTCTCTGAAGGTGCCATGAGATGAACTACCAAATCTCCACAATATGAGATTAAGCCTTGGCAGCATCATCACTGAAGTCTCTGAGCCCTTAGGAAGACAAATCCTAGAAGTAAGGCCACTGGTTGCTGTCCCAATGATATTAAAGCTACCAAAAACTTCTCCCCAAGAATATTTCACTAAAATTAAGTCCTTCACTGTTTATGCCTTAATTTTTTGTGTACCCTAAATGGAAATACATCATAGTTACTTTCTCTCCTCAGAATAAGCCTAGGTTATGAAGGATCAAGGAGGCAGAAGAATTATCATATTTTAAATCAAGAATCTTGGGCCGGCCCTGTGGCTTGGTGGTTAAGTGCTCGCGCTCCGCTGCTGGCGGCCCGGGTTTGGATCCCGGGCACGCACCGACGCACTGCTTCTCTGGCCATGCTGGCGCCGCGTCCCACATACAGCAACTAGAAGGATGTGCAGCTATGACATACAACTATCTACTGGAACTTTGCGGGGGAAAAATAAATAAATAAATAAAATTAAAAAAATAAATAAATAAATCAAGAATCTTAATCTAGAAGGAGGCACTGACTAGATGCTGAAAATGGAAATATGTGTCACTATAAACAGATTTATTTTAATGTGTAAAGTAATCTATTTTATAGATAAAACAATTCACTATCTTAAAAAAAGGAAAAAAGAAAAACCTTTGGAGTGTTACAAACATATTATAAGTCTGCTGAATTAAATACAATGTTCAGGCAAAACTAATCTACTCTGGTAGAAGTCAGGATAGTGGTAATCCCTGGAGGAGGGGAGGTTGTGAGTAGGAAGAGGCACAGAGAAGTTTCTGGGGGTCCTAGTAATGAGGTTTCTTGATCTCAGTGATGGTCACACAGGCGACTTCAGTTTGTGAAAATTTATCAAGTTTATGATTCTCTATATATGTTAAACATCAGTGAAGAATTAAAAACAACAACAACAAAAAATCAATGTTCCTCAGTCTCAGGGTCTCAAGAATTGTCTGTTTGGAAAGACAACCTCCAGCCAATGTTTTTGAGAGCTTAAGCTCAAAAGAAGATATTTAAACTCAGGTAGACAAGAATAAGATATAAGCCAAGGAGGCGAGGGTCTTACAATGAAAAATAAATAAATATAAGAGGCAGTTTCAAATCTTGCCTAAGAGCAGAAACCCAGGTAAGGGGCAGAACTTCGCTCTTCCTTAGTAAAAGACTTATTTTTAACCTCACTGCTTATTATTAAATTATTATTTATTAATAAATAACCTCACATTTATTTTTTTTTTATAAAATGTATGCTTTGTGTGTTGCTATTTTTATTTGCCATTCAATTGCAAGAATGAGAAGGTATTTTTGTTTTGTTTTGTTTTGTTTTTTAAAGATTTTATTTATTTTATTTTTTCCCCCCAAAGCCCCAGTGGATAGTTGTATGTCGTAGCTGCACATCCTTCTAGTTGCTGTATGCGGGACTCGGCCTCAGGATGAACAGAGAAGTGGTGCCTCGATGCACACCCGGGATCCGAACCCGGGCCACCAGCATCGCAGCGCGCGCACTTAACCACCAAGCCACAGGGCCGGCCCCTCACATTTATTTTTAAACATTCGTTCCAAATTTGGGCACGTTGTTTTAAACTGTAAAAGGTGATTCTTTTTTTAAAAGTATAAAATGAAAATGGAAAATTCATTGAATAAAATTTTATGTTTTACCCTGTTTGATAAGTACAGTCATTACAGAACACAAAATTGGGAATTTGGGGAATGGCATATTTGATTCCATGAATGAATCTGAATTCTTCATTATAAGTAGTCTTTAACTTTAGGATATGAACTGCAGTGTATAATAATTATAAACACTGATTGGTGTCTTTTATAAAATGGTTCTAGGAGGAACAAGATAACCTGGAAACTATATGAATTTAAGGCAAATTTCCATTTGAACTTTTTGGGTATGGTTTAAAGGTATAATATCTCATAGATTTTCCCAGGTTTTTTAAAAATTGTATTTTATTTTTATATACTCTGGCTGTATTTTATAAATCCTCATTGACTTTGGAAAGTCCAAATATATATAGCATTAAGATAATGGATATTTGCATTTATCAAAATGCTTCTGAGATAGAGTTCTACACTATGTTTATCTGTAATTAAAATAAGAATGTTAATAAAATAAAAAGTCAAGTCTGACTTTTGACCTATGTGGGAGATTTTATCTATTAAAGATAGCCAAACCTATATATATCCCATCCAATATGCTCTTCCTACAACGTGATGCTGACACTCCGGCACTGAGAGGTGGGATCTGTGTCCTTTCCCTCAAGCCTAGGCAAGCCTTTGTAACCAAGTGGACCAACGGAGTACGGAAGAAGTGACGCTCTGTGACTTCCAGAGCTAGATCATATAAGGCAATACGGCTTCTGTCTGGCTCTCTCTCAGGGTGCTCAACCTCGGCACCCAGCCACCACGCTCTGAGGAAGCTCAGACTAGCCCACACAGGGAGACCAGGGGTGTGCTGCAGCCAACTCACAGCGGCTCTTGAAAGGCAACTGCTAAATCCTCAAGAATTTTGTGAACCACCTGTCAAAAACAGCCACTGTTAAAAATTAGGCTATATAAACTTACAATTAAACATATTATACTAAAAACAAGGTAGCAAATACTCAAACCTCATCACTTCTTGAAATCTGCTACATTTTACTATTATCTATGTTCCAAAGGTTATTAATGTGTATTGTCTGTATATGGTGGAAATACTATGTAATGGTGCTACTGCTATTATGCAGCCCGTCCCAAATCTAGAAAGTCAAGCCTTAGGAATGAAGCTACTCTAGACCTTCTCTTCCAAAGTTTAAAAACAATCCTTAAAAAGATCAAACTGATTGGGGCCACCCTGGTGGCGTAGTGGTTAAGTTCGCATGCTCTGCTTCAGCGACCCAGGTTTCACAGGTGCGGATCCTGGGCGCCGACCTACGCACCACTCATCAAGTCATGCTGTGGCAGCATCCCATATACAAAACAGAGGAAGATGGGCACAGATGTTAGTTCAGGGACCATCTTCCTCAGCAAAGAGAGGAAGATTGGCAATGGATACTAGCTCATAGCCAATCTTCCTCACCAAAAAAAAAAAGAAAAGAAAAACATCAAACTGATCCACAAAGGTTTTAACTGCTTGCCAGAACAAAGTCCAACATTCTTTAAAGAAACACAAAACCCAGCACACAACAACACAGAATTCAAAATATCCACGATCCAAACAATTAACTACTACACATGCAAAAAGTAGGAAAAATCAGTCAAGGGATACAGACCCAGAAATGACAGAGATCATAGAATTAGCATATAAGGACAAAAAAACACATGTTATAAATATGCTCCACATAATCAAGAATGTAAAGGAAAACACGAACATAAAGAGGAGCAAAATGGAAGATTTTTTTTCTTGGTAACAGCTTTACTGAGATGTAATTCACATAGAGAAAAGGGAGATTTTTAAAAAGAACAGAACAGAACCTCTATAGATGAAATACACAATATCTGAAATGAACATTTCACTGAATGAGATTTATGGCAAATTTGACACCACAGAAAAAAAAAATCACTGAACTTGACAACATAGCAGGAGAACTGATCCAAAATGAAGCACAAGGAGAAACAAGACTGGAAAACGAATGAACAGAGCTTCAGTGATGTGAGGGATAATGTCAAGTAGTCTAGCAGCCCTGTTAATAAACTTCCAGCAGAAGAGATGGAGGAGACAGAAAAAATATCTGAGGAAATAATGGCCAAAAAATTTTCCAGATTTGATGAACACTATAAACCCATGGACCTAAGAAGCTTTAAATGAAATCCAAACAAAATTAAAAAAAAGAAAGAAAGAAAAATTTTTTTAAATACTAGACTAAGGCCCATCAAAACCAAATGTGTGCAAACCAGTGATAAAGAGAAAATCATAAAAGCAGCCAGAGGAAAAAAGACATATTAGGGAAATCAATACCCTATAATTAAAAAACACAAAAAACACCTTGATGACACATATGCTAAAGATTAAGAACCTTTGAAGGAATACTGTGACTCCTTTTCTTCTCAAATATATGACTTTTCCAATGTATATACTTGACCTAGTTTACTGTGACTTCTCTTATTCTAGAAATATATCTTTGAATCTCTTTTCAAATGTATGTTTTACCTTGTTTATTATTATTCCCTTTATTTTTTTTTTAATTTTATAATTTTATTTATTTATTTTTCCCCGAAAGCCGCAGTAGATAGTCGTATGTCATAGTTGCACATCCTTCCAGTTGCTGTATGTGGGACGTGGCCTCAGCATGGTCGGAGAAGCGGTGCGTCGGTGCGCACCCGGGATCCGAACCCGGGCCACCAGCATCGGAGTGCGCGCACTTAACCGCTAAGCCACGGGGCTGGCCCCTATTATTCCCTTTAATTTTCAAAATACATACTTCAATCACTTTCCAAATGTATAAAGTTTCCTTGTGAATATAAAAAAGCTTTCTTCGGGCCGGCTCCGTGGCTTAGCGGTTAAGTGTGCGCGCTCTGATGCTGGCGGCCCGGGTTCGGATCCCGGGAGCGCCCCGAGGCACCACTTCTCCGTCCAACGTGAGGCCGAGTCCCACGTACAGCAACTAGAAGGATGTGAACCTATGACATACAACTATCTACTGGGGCTTTGGGGGGAAAAAACTGAATAAATAAAATCTTTAAAAAAAAAAAAAAAAAAAAAAAAAAAAAAAGCTTTCTTCCCCTGTGGATCCCCGTTATAAAAAAGAACTTGTAAATTGAAGAGTTAAGACCTGAAGTGGATCCATACAATGGAATCTTATTCAGCAATAAAAAGGAATGCAGTACTTCAGAGTAGTCAAAATCATTGACAGAAAGTAGAACGGTGGGTGCCATGGGCTGGAAGAGGGGGAAAGGGGAGCTATTGTCTAATGGGTATAGAGCTTTAGCTTTGCAAGGAAAAGAGCTCTAGAGATGGATGGTAGTGACGGTTGCACAACAAAATGAATGTACTTAATACCATAGAACCATACACTTAAAAATGGTTAAGATGGTAAATTTTATGTTATGTGTATTTTAACACACTAAAAAGAAATGAAAGCAAAATTTTTTTAAAAAAAGGAAGGAGGTACTGATACATGCTACAACATGGATGAACCTTGGAAACATTATGCTAAGTGAAAGAAACCAGAAAAACAAGTCACATATTGTAAAATTCTATTTATATGAAATGTTCAGAATAGGCAAATCTATAGACAGAAAGTAGATTTGTGGTTGCCGAGGGCTGGGGGCGCGTTGGTGGAAAATGAGAAGTGACTGTGGATGAGTACAGGGTTTATTTCTGGGTGATAAAAATGTTCTAAAATTGACTTTAATAATGATGCTTGCACAGTTCAGTGACTATACTAAAAGTCACTGAATTGCACATGCTAAATGGGTGAATTATATGGTTTGTGAATTATACCTTAATAATTCTGTTATTAAAAAAAAAAAAAAACTGATACGGAGCAGTCACCAGCTTTTGACTGGTGGATGCTCCTCTCCTCTCTTCCTGAGTGTCATTTTTAACAAAACATTCCAAGGCTGTTGCCACATTTCCAACACTTTCCATCTTAGTCATCCTGTGTGACCATGGGTCACCTATCACCCTCCTCTTCCTCTATAGAAGGAGGACAACAAGGGTTGTCAGGGAGAATAAATGAGCTACAAAAGCCACTAGAACAATAGCAGGCATATTAGTGGGTGCTCATTAACTGCTTGGAGAATTGACTGAAAAACTGAATAGATCAGGTCTGTGTACAATAATGAATTAAAAAAGGTAGACAACCCCAGCAAATGCAACATTAACACATGGTAAACTCTGTCAAGTCACGCCTCCTTCACAAAGGAGGAGGGAAAGCGTATTTTCAGCTTTATCTTTCTCTTTAGCCGGACGTCTCCATTTCTACAGTTATTTCATACTAAGGCTTTCATGTTGACCCTAAATCCAAATTTTACCTTTTGAGGAGGGAGAGAGATCTTACATGCTTGATCAACTGAGCTGAGCCTCTTTTTTTTTTTTTGCTTTTGTCTCATTCTCTTTACCTAATGTCCTGGCGATAGTAAAGAAAGAAGCATTTTCTGTCTTCCCTTATCACAAATTCTCTGAGGCCAAAAACTAGAGGAAAATCTGCTCAGCCATCTGTATCCAACACCACCTCTAGGAGTTCAGGAGCTCAGGAACGATGGGTTTATCCAAAGCCTTTTAGTAGACAGAAAGAGCAGCGCCATGCTGAAAGAGGACAGGGTGGAGCCACACGTCCTAACACTGAACACTGTTCAAAACGTTCTGCTAAGTGGAAAAAGATAGCTGCAAAGGAGCATGTAAAGCATAATACAATTTATAAAATATGATTTTTAGTTAACTAATTTGTGGTCTATGTGTGCACATATATATGTGTATAAAGAGAAAAACCAGGAAGAATATATAATACCCCCCAAAATTAGCAGTAGGCCTCACTGAAAAGGAAGGATTCTGGGGTCCTTCACTGTGTACCTTCTACATTTCTGTGTCGCTTGAAATTTTTGTAACAAGAATGCTTTACTTTTATAATTAGGACAAAAATTAGCTAGAGAGAATAAAACAGAAAACTGGCAGAACTCCAGCCCTTACCTCCACTCCCCCAACCTCCTACACACACCACCACCACTCATGAAGAGGCCACTCTACTCAAACACAATGGGGACCTTTCTCCACAAAGGAAAACACGGCACAACTTTCCAAGAGCCGCCTCTGCCCTCTGGAGAATGCAAGAATATCAGAGCCATGACTGGTGAGAGTGAAGAATCATTGCCACAGAACTCACCAGGGATCTCAGACATTACTGAATCACTTCCTCCTTCCTTTTCTTGGACTTTCTTTGCTTTCTTTTTAACAGGCCCATCATTCTCCAGTGGTCTCTTTTTACTTCTGTCAGCTTCTGCAACCTGTATCAGGAAGGTTAGAAAATGATGTGTTATCTCAAATCTCAAAAGTTGATGTATGCGAAATAATTTAAACCTCACTTCTGAATGACAGCAAGGTCCTTGCTATCCAGCCTTCACAGAATCATCTTCATTGAGCTCTGGGAAGACCTAGGGGTGAACTGTTTTTACGGTCATCAAAGACAAGGTGGAGACTGGCAGGTCACTAGCCTGAGCACCTCAACCCTGCTGGAATCAATTAGAACAAAGTCTGCTACCTTTCTATACTCAATCAGCCTTCACCTATCTCAAATTATATAACTTAAATTACCCTACTTATATACGTTAAATAAAATACATTTAAGAAAAAACTAATATTTATTTAGGAAAGATGAAATTAGATAACAGATAATAATAATTAGATAATAAAAGAACAGCATCATCTTTGAAATGTTAATTGTAATTTATCTCTATGTTCACCACTGAAGATGCCACAAGATTATGAACTATTTGTTGGCAGGAAACCTGTCAAAAACCCTTCACCAAGTACCCTCTAAATGATGGGTGTAAAATAAAATCTTGGTGAATTCATGAAAACGTCAGAAAACAAGGACAAGAGAGAAGCGATCACTCCATGGAAGAAATGTAAATGAAGGGAACAAGATCTCGAAGCAGCCCAGCTGTGAGCTGCATTAAAACTTGGGAGGGTGGCTAAAAGCCAGTCTGCCACCCCCCTCCATAGCCTCATTCTGAGAAATACTGCACCAGGCAGCCCCAGAGAGGGTGCACCCTTAGACTTTCCCCTGTGGCAATCTCCCCCGTAAAAACAAAACGAAAAATCCTCGTATTTTACTCAGTTGAAGGGTGGCAAGCAACAGGAAGAATGCAATGACTAACCATCACATCTGTTCCACCTTAAGAAACTTGACCCACCCAACCTATCAGAGTTCACAGTCTGAACTACAACGGTGTAGTCACGGGGGTACTGCACAATGTAACTGCTTTTATGCATAGCCGCTTGAAATATTCAGACATGCTGTTGCAGTCTTAAAGACCAGAGATTTAATGGCAGATTTCTGCTGGTCACCTAACCAAACACATATAAACAAGTTAAAGCTCCTCTTCAACCCTCAATCTAGAAAAAAAAAAAAGAGGAGGGAGGACGAAGGTCAAAAGCTGTATCCTTTGCCCACAGGCCCCTATCCTCATCACAACGGGAGTCAGGAGACTCGGGTTTCCGTCTCAGGTCTGCCATTAAGAATCTATGCGACTTTAGCCTCAAGTCTTTCACCCCAACTGGAAACTAAAGCCTTTGAACTACAAGATGGAGGTCGGCCTCGCTCTTCCCGCCTTCTCCTTCCCGAGGGTCGCCCCTTTCTCCCCTGTGGCGTCATCTCGCCGATTCTCGCGAGGTCTCTACCTCCTCCCGCTCCACTCACAAGCACCGCCCCTGCCCACCTCGCCCCGCCCCTTCTCCCCGAGGGCCCCGCCCCATCCTGGACCAAACCCACCAATTGTGGCGGCAACTGAGGCGGGAAAGAGGACGCTAGGGGCGCTGCGGAGTCAGAGTCGGGGTCCGCCTTGTCGGCTGCGCCGGCGGGAGAGGAGGTGGATTTCAGGCTTCCTGAAGAGTGGAAGAATCTGCTCAAAACCGCTTGTCTTGCAGAGGCGGGGCCGGCTGCACCAGCAATGCCAGAGGCAGGCTTCCGGCGGGACATCGCGAGGCCGAGAGTGACAGCCCAGGGGCAGGGCCCAGCCGGGAGCGCGAGCCCGCGGCCGCAAGTCCCGGGCGTCTGCGGGCGCGAGCACGTCGCGACCTTGCCGTGCGCCGGGGCGGGGGGCGGGGCGGGGGCGGGGCCTCGCCTGCACAAATGGGACTGAGGGGCGTGGTGGCCGCAATTTCGCGCCAAACTTGACCCGGCGTCCAGGTCTCGCGAGCGAGCTCCGAAGTGTTTGCTGCCGCTCTCATGATGCGTCCGCTAAACTGCATCGTCGCCGTGTCCCAGAATATGGGCATCGGCAAGAACGGGGACCTGCCCTGGCCCCCACTCAGGTACCTGCTGGGTGGGGGAGGGTTGGGTGTGTGGGGATCGAAGCTGGCGCAAGATGCGCTTGACCCGGGCACCTGGGCGGGACCGCGCCGGGCCGACGGGCAGCGAGAGGATGGGTCGGGCTTGCGTCATGAACTGACCGAGCCTGGCACTGGGTTTCCTTCTGCGTCAGGAGCCGGGAGACCAAATTACTGATTTCCGTCCCGCTCCTGCTGCCCCGCGAGGCCCTTCCCCGAGGCACCCCACTCCAGAGCAAAGTCCCAGTCCTGGAGACCCCACCCCCACCCCAGCGCACCGTTTGTCCGGCTTGGATAACGTTCTGAGTAACGCTGTGTTTTCTCTAACTTGTAGGAATGAATTCAAGTATTTCCAAAGAATGACCACAACCTCTTCAGTAGAAGGTAATATGGGATTTTTAAGTGATTGAGGTTCTCAAACAGTCTTGCTCGAGTAAGCTTCCAGTGCAAATTTTACTTAAATCAAAAGTTTTCCGTGTTAATTGAAACATTTTCTCTTACCATCGATCTGTATGAAGTTCCCAAGGTTCATTAAACATTTTTTTTTTTTAACTTCTTTGAAATTTTATGTGGGCACACATACAATTGAGGTGTTGGGCAAAATTGGCAGCTAGAGACTCCGGTGGAGGAGGCCTTAGGTGTAGCGGCTGCAACTGAGGAGGGCAGTGGAGAGGAGGCCATAGGTGTCCAAAAAATGGTTACATGGTCCTGGGTTTGGAGATCAGGAGATTAAAGGAGATGCGGGAAGACATCAAGGATGACTCTCAGATTTTCAGTGCAAGAGTCTGGGTGAATAAAAGAGTGGAGAGTAGTATGCAGTTGTAATGATGACGATTTTGAGATGCCTGTGGGGTATCCAGGATAATTTCAAACACCGGGAACTAGATGAATTGATCCCCTGGAGAGAAGAGGATAACCAAGGAAACGAATATGGGGGTGGGAGCACCCGGTTTAAAACCTAAGAGACATGTATGTTTGATCATAGGAGGAGGAATAGCCCAGTGATAGCCATCTAGGTGAGATGCCAGGTCCTTGGATTTGGCACTTAGGTCACTGGTGCCAAAGATAAGATGGCAAGAGCTGGAATCTAAAGAAATGAGGTGGACCACTCTCAGGAATCCTAAGTATGGTCTGGTAATAGGAAGAACATCCAATGCCTGGCCTGTTTGCTGATTTTCAGTAAATACAGTGGTCCCCACTTATCCATGGGGGATGCATTCCTAGACCCCCAGTGGGTGCCTGAACCCTATATATACTACGTTTTTTTCTCTACATACATACCTGTGATAAAGTTTAATTTGTAAATTAGGCATAGTAAGAGATTAACAGCAATAACATAATAAAATAGAACAGTTATAAAAATATATTGTAATAAAAGTTACTGTAGATCTTACCAACATCAGCATGATTTTTTTTTCCTTCCTTATTACATTAAGAACTATCATGTTTTCACTTAAAGGAAGCCTTTTACGGCTTCTCTTTGGCATATCTGAATTGCCAGCATCACGACTCTTATGCTTTGGGGCCATTATTAAGTAAAATAAAGATTCCTTGAACATAAGCACTGTGATACTGTGACAGCGGACCTGATAACCTAGATGGCTACTATGTCACCAACCAGTGGGTAGTGGATACACAGGGATGATTGACATCCCCTGCAAGACGGATCAGGAGGGCTCAAGATTTCACACACTAGTCAGAACGGAGTGTAATTTAAAACTTATGAATTGTTTATTTCTGGAATTTTCCATTTAATATTTTTGACCACTGATGACCTCCAGTAACTGAAACCACAGAAAACGAAACCACAGATAAGGGAGGACTACTGTACAGTATTTCTTGGCTGAATGAATGAAAGGGTAGCAAGGGTGTCTTGGCATTTTTTTTTTTGATGTCTCCCTATGGTCTTCACTCATCATCTCCACCTTAGTTGTTAGGCCAGGTCTATACCATTTCTCTCATCAGAATTCCTCACCTGTTGATGCTATTTTTAATAGTTGCTGTCTCCTTATTGAACACCTAAAGGTCTATTCTTGAAAATGCAGTGCATATTGTATAGGGGTACCATGAACTATAGGCATACCTATTTTCTTTAATTATTTGAGGGAAAAAAAAATTTTCCCAACATTTGGAGGTAATATTTGATTATGAGTAGTGAAGCAAAATATGGAAAAATGCTTAGTCTTACTACTGGTAGTTTGTAAACACTAGTGCTTTTGTTTAAATAAAATCAAACTAATGAAGATTCCTTTATAAAATAGACACATGCACTCCTTTTGGTAGTCTGTCACAATATATCAAGAATCATAGAAATGTGTATGTTTCTTTGATCCAGATATCTGACCCCCAAGGTTTTTCCTCCTAAGTAATTAAACCAAAAATGGAAACTATATGAATAAAATTTTGATAGAAGCATTATACTTGAAAGAGAAGGATAGAGGCACAATTGAAAGGGTTTTAAGCTAAGTAGAATATTAAGCAGCTATCTTTAAAAGTATGACTATTAATGTAAATCTACAGAGCACACAAATATGAATACTAATATATCAAACAGTTATAACAGTACTTATTAGATACTGAACATGGTTCTAAGTCTTCAATCCCCACAACAACCCTAGAAGTAGAAACTGTTGTTATCTCCATTTTATAGATAAGGAAAGTAAGGCATAGAAGGTTAGCATGACTTGCCTAGTTCATGACAGAATACATTCAACTTGAGAACTTTGACCCAGACTCTTTGCTCTTAACAACTACAGTCATGTGCCACATAATGACGTTTGGGTCAACGACAGACGGCATATACGATGGTCCCGTAAGATTAGTACCATATAGCCTAGGTGTGCAGTAGGCTATACCATCTAGGTTTGTGTAGGTACATGCTATGATGTTCACACAACCACAAAATCACCTAACGGATGCATTACCCAGAATGTTTCCCCGTTGTTAAGCGACACCTGACTTTATAGTATACGTGATTGCAATTGGTTAAAACTAAATATTGGGTAAAATCAAAGGGAAAAATAGTTACTATATTTAGGTAATGGGTAATAAATGTAAATTTTGGTAAAGCTGTTTTAAATTTTAGTTTTTTTAAAGCAGAGCCACTAGATGTCACTATGACAATCATATGTCTATATATTTATGAATATATGAAAATATATATGTATATTCCCAAAATATACTTATTCTTTCTATATGCTTTTATAGGTAAACAGAATTTGGTGATTATGGGTAGAAAGACCTGGTTCTCCATTCCTGAGAAGAATCGACCTTTAAAGGACAGAATTAATTTAGTTCTTAGCAGAGAACTCAAGTAAGTACTATGACATAAATTCACCGCAGGAAAATCATGTCCTGTTTCTTATGGTGGAGATCAGTGTCTGACAAGTAAAATAGTATGATTGTAGCTCTGTTGACGAAGCTGCTTATATCATTAAGGTGATTACAGAAAATGAATGAGCAGTTGTTTATGTCACAGGACAATGACTTACTCTGCTCCTTAAGTCATTGGTTTCATCACCTTGAAAAGTTGCATTAAATCTCACTATGCTGGGTTGGCCCCATGGCTTAGCGGTTAGGTGCATGCGCTCCGCTGCTGGGGGCCCGGGTTTGGATCCCGGGCGCGCACTGACGCACCGCTTCTCCAGCCGTGCTGGGGCCGTGTCCCACATACAGCGGCTGGAAGGATGTGCAGCTGTGACATGCAACTATCTACTGGCGCTTTGGGGGAAAAATAAATAAATAAAATTTTTAATAAATAAATAAATCTCACTATGCTAACATATTTGCAAGTTTCCTTGAACGATTATTGAGTAGGCTCAAATATCATTTATACAATATAATTAATAATTTTTCTCTAGTTTCACATAAAACCAAAATACATATGTTTTGAGACTTGCCAAAATTAAATGATTATCCCCTCTCTGGACCCTGTCCTAAAAACAATAAGATGTAAATTTTAGGATGGGCTGAAAATCTTAATCTTAAAATCATAATCTTGTGATTCCTAGTTTACCACAACACCCAGATAATGTTTTCTACTTGTGTTCTTTACCTGGTGTCTGAAGGTAAAAAATTTCAAAGTATTGAAGTGGACCCAGGGGTCCTGGAGAGAAGGTAGTGTCTGCAGTTGGCCTCTGCTAGGAATTTCCCTGTCCTCCAGTCCAGCATTGGACTGGGTAGTTCCTGGTGCCTGGAAATGCCCTGGGGACCTGGGGCATGAGGACCTGGGTGTAGTTAATGCGTTAAGTCTGCCCACGAAGGCACCTCCAGTGGTTTGACCTGCACCACGGCTTCCGTGTCATTTACTCCACCTGTGATGTTTCTTGATGTCTATTTTGTTACTTTTTGTTGTTATTGTTTACATTGGTCCTAAGCCATTAAAATAACTTACTGACCCTTTGGGGGGTGGAGGTGACCTGAATTAGACCTTAAGGGAAAGTTTGGGATTGGCATGGTAATCGTTCTTCCTTAAACTAATAATGTAATCACAAAAAAAGAATGCAGTGTCCTAGGGCACTGCTCATTTGAGAACCGTGGTCCTAATAGTCCTTTCCCATTTGTATTAGTCAGGGTTCAACTAGAGAAGCAGAACCTATGTATATATATACATAGGCTGACAACAATTGTGGAGGCTGGCTAGGCAAGTCCAAAACTCTGTAGGGTAGGCCATCAGGGAGGGCAGTCTGGAACTCTCCAGCAGGGGCTGAAGCTGCTGTCCTGGGGAAATTTCTTCAGGGAGACCTCAGATCTGCTCGTAAAGTCTTTCAGCTGATTAATTTAGGCCCACCCAGATTAAAGTCATCTAATTTTTGACTTTAATCTCATTTACAAAATACCTTTGCAGCAACACCTAGATTAGTATCTGAATAACCAAGGACTATAGCCCAGCCAAGTGAATACATCAAAGACCATCACACTAAGGGAAGGAAAAAACATGACACGACAATAGGCTGAGGGGATTCAGGCTTATGTAGATTTTCTCCCAAATCCCTCCTAGAAAATGGCATAGGTAAAAACCTGAGAGAAAATATAGCAGAATATTTGCATGGAGTGCCTTTGGAGGATGGGGAATATGTTCATGTACATCTTGCCATCTGCCTCAATCTTCATATTGTTTTTCTCTTGGTTGCTAGGATGTTCTGATTATCTCTTTACACTGTAGAATCCAGATTCACAGATTGTATTGCCATTCCCAGAGACTCTTTAATAACATATTCTTGAATACTACTCAAGTTTATTTATGACTAGCTTCAGCTAAAACAAAGAAATCTCAGTGGGGGAGATGTTCAGTTGAACCAGCAAATCTCCTCAAATGATGAGTCTAATTTCTTCTTTATGACCCCCCTGTGGTGTGTGTAATTGAGTTTGGTTGTTTCTTATGTATTTATATATAACATTTGTTGGTGTATTTCGCTTTTTGTTTTTAAGGCAGAGAGAAAATTTAAAGTCTTTATTATCAAGCATGACAGGAAATAGATAGGGACACCAGTTAGGAAAAAATTTTAGAGGTTTTTTTTTTTTTTGTCCTTCCTTCTGCTTCCCTACTTGCTGGTGAATTCCACACATATCCTGAGCACCTGCTGTGTGCTGGGCGCTGTTGGGTCCTGAATAAAAGGGGAAAGATTTACACATGGAAATCACTGTTGCTCATACAAGCGTTTAGAAATACTGTTTTTCACCACCACCCCCAATGTAAGAAGAAACTAAATCCTTAAAGTAGCCCCAAAATTTGCTGCCAGATACTAGTTATTGGGTAACTATTTACCTAATAAGGTATAAGGGAAACAGTGCTTTTCCAAAACTTTCTAGACAATCAAGTTGCAGCTTTAAAGTAAATGTTAAGCGGCCACCTTTGGAAAACTGATTGGCATTTTCCCAAAATGTTAAACATAGAGTTATCATATGACCCAACAATTCCATTCCTTGGTATATACCCAAGAGAAATGAAAACATGACCACACAAAAACTTGTACATAGATGTTCACAGCAGCATCATTCATAATAGCCAAAAAGTAGAAACATCCCAAAAGTCCATCAACTGATGAATGGATAAACAAAATGTTATATCCATACAATGGAATATTATTGCATAATAAAAAGGAATGAAGTACTGATAAATGCTACAAGATAGATGAACTTTGAAAACAATATGCTGAGTGAAAAAAGCCAGACACAAAGGACCATGTGATTCCATTTATATGAAATGTCCAAATAGGCTAATCCATAGAAACAGAGAGTAGATTATTGGTTCCCTGGGAGAGAGAGGTGGGGAGTGGGGAATGACTGACAATAGATACACAGTTTCTTTTTCTTTTTGGGGTGATGGAGATGTTCTGAAAGTAGATAGTGGTGATGGTTGCACAACTCTGTGGATGTACTAAAAAGTTACTAAACTGTACACATTAAAAGGGTAACTTGCTGGCCAGCCCCATGGCTTAGCAGTTAAGTGCACGCGCTCCGCTGCTGGCGGCCCGGGTTCGGATCCTGGGCGCGCACCAACGCACTGCTTGTCCGGCCATGCTGAGGCCGCGTCCCACATACAGCAACTAGAAGGATGTGCAACTATGACGTGCAACTATCTACTGGGGCTTGGGGGGCGCGGTGAAAGGAGCAGGATTGGCAATAGATGTTAGCTCAGAGCCGGTCTTCCTCAGCAGAAAGAGGAGGATTAGCATGGATGTTAGCTCAGGGCTGATCTTCCTCACAAACACACACACAAAAAAGGGTAACTTGTATGTGATTTATATCTAAATAAAGCATTTTTTTAAGTCTTTAGAACCAAAAATTAAAGAAATTTTACTGCAGTGCTGTGGCTTTGACAGTATCTTTAGAAAACCCCAAATTGCCTCCATGATATAAGAGGTTGTAAATTGTCTTCAATCCACAAAAGTTATCTCACATTTCATGGTATAATAATTTTGTATGGTCTCATGGTCACATTCTCCACAGTGATTAAAACTTTCTCCTCTTAAAGCTGCAGTCCCCTCCCCACCACTTACACACTTGGTACAGCAAAGACTTACTGACCTGGCTTCTAAACCCGCTCTGGCGCCTATTAACTTTGTGGCTTCACACAGGTTGCAAGAAAGTCTTGCTGAACCTCAATTTCCTTACCTAGTAAATGGGATTGATAATGACAATTTCTTAGGGTAATTTCAAGGATTAATTGAAATTTTATATGTTACATTTCTGGCTCGTGGAAGATACCCTACAGATATCAGGTCCTGCTCCCCCGATCACTACTACTTTAGCAAAATTACCTCACCTTAGAGCTTACAGAAAATAGTAACGTTAATGAAATCACGATAAACAGGCTTGTGATCTCCTTTTCACTGAAACATATCATTTTGTTCTTCCTTCTCTCAATCTTGAGACAAATAATCCCTTCCCATCAAAATCAGTCCCCTCCCTCGCCCCCACCACTTTTTTCTCGACTCCATTTTTTTCTGTCCTCAAGACCTTCCTCTTTTATCCTACCCTTTAGTATTTTAAACCTCACCTCAGATTACTTTTCTTCTATCCTCAACTTTCTTGGAGTTTTCTTGTGTTAAACAACTTTTGTAACTTTAGCATAAGCCTCAGTAATATCTGTGGTGGCCTGTCTGTCACATCTGTGTTTTGCACATGTTTTTATCTCCTTCGAGACTCAGCTAAGGGATCGTACTCCAAGGAGTGTTCTTCCGCACACCCCGCCCAGATGGTGCACCTCCTCTGTGCCCATCCAGCACCCTCCACACATCCCCACTGCAGGTCTTTCTCACTTTATGGCCACGGTTGGATATTCCTCTGCCTGCCATCACCATCTTTTTGGTACAGGGAGTGCATTTTTTTTTTCTCTATTGCCAGCATCTGGCATATCTCTAGTAAAATAGGGATTCAGAAATTTTTATGGACTGAATAGTCCATAGGTGATTTATAAAAATGGGATCATCCCACATAATATCACTTTGTAACCTGCCTTTTTTCCTCACTTTATATATTAAAAGATGAATTTCTATAAATATTTTTAGTGGCTGCATAGTATTCAGTTATGAGGATGGAACATAGTTGAATCAATTTTTAATAGTTGGAAATCACATTTTTAAAGACTGAGTATGAAAGGTCTTAAATTGAACATATTTCTGAATTCTGGTTAGGACGTGATTGTAGCCTAGGGTTTTTTGTTTGTTTTCCCAACAGTCACCAGGGAAATTAGACCAGAATTCCATCTGCCATGTCATCCTCTTTCATATCAGGCACACTGGAAAAGCATAATGTTTATGTGGTACCGTGGGGTGATGAGATGAGGATGCCCAAGGCCAGAGGACATTGGTCTGAAGGCTTTGCCTAAACAAGGCCACACTGTCCCAAGGTCTGAGGGGACCAGAGTCTTGACACCCTTGTAGTCCGTGGCCACCGGTTCTCACTATTGTCTGTGTAAGAAGTTGCAGCGCAGGCTCCAAAGTCAGGCTGCTGGAATTCAATCCCAGCTCCACCATTTCCTAGCTGCGTGACCATTGGTTACTGAACCCCTCAGCCTCAATTTCCTCGTATCTATAAAGGCATAGTAGTACCTACATGGGACCGCTGCTGTGCTGCGCGTGAAGCACTGCCTGACCTGCTACTTGTAGAGCAAGTCGGCACTCGGTAATGTTAGGTATTTCCTTTCTAACACAACTATCCATCAGGTAAAAAGCAGCCTCCCTTCAATAGGGCTTTTAAGGAAAGAGATGGAAGTATCACTTGAGTGCCTACTGTGTGTGTTCTCTCTTAATCCTCGGGCCAGCCCTCTGAGGGAATTCAAGACAGTTAGAAACAAAATATCAAGCGTGTCCACAAGCTTCTTGACACAGAATATGTATGCTACTAACACCAGCTACTACACACCAACTCTCCTTTGTGAGGAAATCCAATCTGGATTCGTTTCAGATAATTATGGGAAGGAAGCAAAAATAAGTAACAATATTGAGTGCTTGCTGTATGCTATTTACTGTGTTGCTTTCTAGGATTTGTGTTGTGAAGAGGGGGCTGCACTCAAACATTAGCTCAAATTTTTGCTTGTTCTTTTCTACACATCTAGGGGTCCAGTGTTTCCTATGAATCTTATTTCTAAACTACCAAATAGCAACATTTTGCAGAAGCATTTCCTCCATGTCTTTGTTATAACTGAAACCTGAAACAAATCCTTAATCTGTTCTTTGTTTTCCTTTTCTGGACTCTACAAAAGGGCAAAGAAGTCTTCACCTTTCTCAAGCCATTGTTCCACAGACTTCACAAAACTATTGCCCCCTTTCTTTGAAGTCCACACCAAGCATTTATACCACCTTCTAAATCATTTTGCTGTAATCCACCAACTTCCAGGATGCCTCTTCAGTTTTCCTCATATGTCAGTTCCTAAATCACCATTTTCCATTCTACCTTATCTCCTGTCTGGTCCTGAATTCAACATCCCCAGATACTAAAATCACCTTGACTCTGTCTCGGTCATTCTAGACTTTGTTTATTAACTAGACTATCTTCTCCCCCAGCTCCAATCTGTTTCTTCTAGATTTGGTTCTCCCCGTGAACAGCCTAGCCAACCTAGTCAGTCCAACTGCCCTGATACCTTAGGAGATCCCTCGGCTCCTTTAACCTCACCCTGGCCTCAGTGTCTTTTTCCAGCCTTTAGTCAAAATATATTCTTTGTGCTATCTTGACTTCTTTAGAGATGACAAAGAGTGAAGTAACTAAGTATATATCAAGGAGGTGAGGGAGAAGGCAGCCAAGAGAATGAATAGACCCCATTAGCTCTTGATTAATCGTTGTTATAACTACTCATTCAAAGGCAATTATATAATTTTTTTAAAGCATCAGTCTAAGAACTTGATATTGAATTGTAATTTCTGTTCTCTAATTATTATGAAGGTCTAATTCTGCATGTTTCTTCATTTGTAAAGGGAATTGCAACCCCCCCCTCCCCTACCTAAAAAAATAAACCAATTCTGGAGGTGGGGAGAGATTGAGCTAGTCAGTGTAAATACTGAAATTAACTTTTCCCCTTTTGGGTTTTTAATTACAAAAGTAATAACATGCTCATTTTTAAATACTTCATCTATTTCTATGTTGTTTGAAACATGGAAGTTCTTTCCCCACTCCCCAAAGGTAACCACATAGTAACAGTTTGAATATCATTACAAACTACAGGCATTCAAACATACCACTCTTTTTCCAATATTTTATCATGAAAACTTTCAAACATACAGAAAGAACTTACAGTAAACACCTGTATACCCACCACATAGATTCTACCATTGACATTTTACTATGCTTATTATATTATCATCCATCTATGCATCCATCTGTCTTGTTCTTTGTTGCATTTCAAAGTAAATTGCAGGAGTTAGTATACTTTTTCCTAAATACTCCAGCATACATCTCATTAACTAGAGTTCAATATTACTTTACTGTTTTTTTCTTTTAAGAAAAATATTATGTACAATGAAATGTACAAGCCTCAAATGTACATGTGCTAAGTTTTGACAAATGTACATACCCGTGTAATCCCATATCAAAGATATAGAGCATTACCATCACCCTCAGAAAGTTGCCTCGTGCCCCTTCCCTGTGAATTGTTACCCCATCCCTCCAGAGACAAATAGTGTTCTGATTCTTTTCCACCACAAATATGTGATATCTCAGGTGTTTGTGCTTTTTGGTTCGTTGTGGGCCATACATCCACAAATGTGGGTTGAGTTATTGGTCATGGGTCATACTGATGTGAAGTGCTTTTTGTCAAAAGGATTCATGTTTATGATGATTTTAGTTTTATAATTACTGCTTCCTATTTAGATTATCTGACTCGTGTTTTTATTAGAGTTTTATAGAAATTATGTGTAATCCTTTCTTTTAACCTCAGGGAACCTCCACAAGGAGCTCATTTTCTTGCCAAAAGTTTGGAGGATGCCTTATCACTTATTGAACAACCAGAATTAACAAATAAAGTGGACATGGTTTGGATCGTGGGAGGCAGTTCTGTTTATAAGGTAAGTAAAGTTGTCTGTAAATATAAAGAAATATTCTACCCTACTTTCTTCCAGCTTCCCTCCCATCCAAACTTTAAAAAAATTAAGCCATGAGCAGAGGAAGCTCATTATCCCTGCTGTAAGTTAGGTATACTGTCAATTTGAATTATTTATTTTTTGATACTATCCTACAAACTAAATGAAAATGTAAAAGTAAGTTTTTAGGTCTGTATGAGTTTGTTTCAATTCAAAATAGTTGATGTTTCCAATTTTAAAAACATTCTAAATCTTTCCCTGAGCCATCCTTGCCTGCGCTGTTTTCTACTCCCTGGATGTGTTGGAGGTGCACTGAGTCATTCCCTTTCCTTCAAGGATAAATGTGTCTCTGACTGAGAAAGAGACGAGGCTCTCAGTTGGTAGACACTGACTATATGTATATGAATTTGTTAAAAACAGAAAACTTTCCCTCAACAATTTTCATAGAATGTGAGGGCGTGGGAGAAGTGTTATATGATTTCGTATCATAAAAAATACAGCATAAGAGAAAATATTCCTTTTTCTTGATACCAAGTGGCTTCCAGCTTTAAAACATTTTGAGGACAATAAATAGAATTCTTTGACTCTTTTAAAACACTAATGAAAGATTAACATTTATGAGGAGGAAAAAAATCCACCAGTACCCTGTGGTGGCTTGTGGGAACATAGGTACATTGAATTATTTCAGAAAGAAGAGGTAGACCAGGATCCTACGTGGGATTATAAAAACTCTGTTACTCAGGTTCCTGTTTCTACAACCTTTTATTTTCTCCATTTAATAGGGGGAAAATGGACATTTTCCTTTAATCTTTCAGTCAAGTATGAATTTCTAAGAAATCATGTCCTTTCTTTATTTTGTTCAGTACTTATTTTGAGTGATTCAATACCATATTCACTTGAAATGTATTTTTTAAACAATATAAGGGCTTAAAACTAAATACATTTATATAATTTCATATAATCTATATGTATATAAATAATAAGGAAGTAGAACCTCCAGGTGGTAATTCTGCGTTATCCACCTACCTCACATCACAATAGCTTGTTGAACATTTAGGCTTATCTTCCCATGGGCCAAATCAGGCTTCCCAGCCTGTTTTTGTAAATAAGGTTTCATTGAAACACAGCTAGGCCCATTGGTTTAGTATTGTCTATGCCTGCTTTTGCCTACAAAGGTGAGAATCCATATGGCCCGCAAAGCTTAAAATATTTACCTTCTGACCCTTTACAGAAAAGGTTTGCCATGTATCATTAACTTTGATACGGACCTTCAAATGTTCCTATGGTTAGTCCTATTCAATTTTTCTAATTTTTTGGTACACTCAGAATTGGTAGAATATTTATTTGGTTGAGGCAAGAGAATAAATGATTTAATATAAGCTATAGTATTGAAAATAAAAAGTAAAATTTGTCTATTCCCTCATTTGAAATTTTAAGGATAACACTTGAAATTATGTATATATATCTTCCCTCAACCCCCATAAGCTATTTGAAGATGAAGAGTTATTGCTTTCTGGGATAAAGGGGTACATATATATGGTGACGGATGAAAGCCAAACTATTGGTGGTGAACACGATGCAGTCTATACAGAAACTGAAATATAATAATGTACACCTGAAATTTACACAATGTTATAAGCCAATATGACCTCAGAAAAATAATTTTTTAAAAAAATAGCATTATTACTTTCTTGGAACTGCAATTAGGACTCATGACTTTTTATTAGAATCTTAAGATATTTGTTCCAGGCAGTTTTTCTGTAGAAACTGTCAACTGTACTATAGGCAGTAGTTAGAAAAGTCATTAACAATATAAGGCCGAATACAATCGTCAGCAGCAAGAGGCAGAATAAATTACCTACTAGCATTACAACTATCTCCTGAGAAATGGAAGCATTGTTAAATTTTATGTAAATGTGCTGAAGTATGCCCTTGGGATTTTCAATAGTCAAGGTCTGATGAAATTACACCATCTTATCCATATATACGTATATAAATTTTTCTATGGAGAGTAACTAGATAATTTGGGTTCTTAATTCTTAAACACCACCAAAGACAAAAGACAAAACAATGCTTAAATGAAAAAAGAGTTCATATAAGCAAACCAGAGGCCAGAATATATTTAAACTCATTCTCATAATTATTGATAATGATTAATGCCATTCTCAACATAACTAAGGCATACTTTGCAGGACCCTAAAGAATAAGATATTTAAATAGCATGCTTTGGATGTAACAAGTTATATAGCATGTCTTTAATACCTAGTACAAACTTGACTATGTAATAAGAAACAAAAATCTTAGAGTTTCTATGTCTTTTGACACAGATAAATAAGGAAACTCATGCCTTTTATTGTGTTTCAAAGGAAGCCATGAACAAACCAGGCCATCTTAGACTGTTTGTGACAAGGATCATGCAGGAATTTGAAAGTGACACATTTTTTCCAGAAATTGATTTCAAGAAATATAAACTTCTCCCAGAGTAAGTATTAAATGTTATTAATTAGTATAACTATAAATATAAAAAAGTATAAATGTTATTAATTAGTCTGAAGCACTTTTGGACTTCTTGCTTAAGAATTATAGAAAAGTGTATGTCTCTTCAGATTGAATTCAGAGAAGTAATGTGTTTTATAGACAAATACCGTAGGAATTTGGGGAAATCTGCTTTAACAGACTTGGGAATGTTCAGGTTTTAATGGTTTTACTGAAATCTAGAGAGTAGTCATTAGTTCATTCTGTGAGGTGTATGTTTAGGATCAGACACTGTCCTAGGCACTGGGACACAGTGATTACCAAAAGAGATGCTGTCACTACTCTCCAGGAGATTACATTCTTTGTAGTAGAGGAGGAGGGTAGCAAATGACAAAAACATCAAAAGAGTTGCTGTGTGGAGAGTTGAAGTATTGGGTGTGGTAGAAACTGTGTGGTCTGAGAAGTCTTCTGAAGAGTGGTGTCTACACTGAGATCTAAATGGCAAGAAGCCAGCCAGGCAAAGGGCAGAGAAAAGCATTCCAGGAAGAGAAACAGCTGGTGCAGAGACCTGGGGGCAGGAGCAAGCGTGGTGTGTTCTCTGAGCGTGAAGGCCACTGTGGGCATTGTGCACAGGGGGAGGCCAAAAGGGATCAGACCACGTGCAGGTTTACAGCGTTCTGAAAAGAGTGATACTGTTCTAGCTGTTGATGGAGAGTGGACCAGACGGGGATGAGAGGAGGCAGGGAGACCAGTTATTTAGTAGTAGTTAAGCTGAAAGATGAGGGACTTAGCAGCGGTGGAGATGAAAAGAAGAGGTTCCGCTTGCTTTACTATGGAGTTGTGATTTTAACATGAATCTGCCTCATTTTAAAAACTCGTAGCATTTTAATTTAAAAGCACTTTTCAGCTGTTGGCTATGGAAAGTAAAAGTAAAAGATTAATTACATCAACACTTTCAGACTAGCTTTTCACACATTCTTTCACATATTCTCAGTTGAATCCAGTCATTATTCTTTGAGTGTGAGTTTGTTTTTGGAAATAACTCCTAAAAGAACATTCAGAGCCAAACCTGAATAAACGAATGGCCAAGCTTTAGAGTAATAGTCTATTGCTCTATCGAGCAATAGGTAAGAGTCTCGAATCAAATGAAGTGTGTGACTGGTTTTCTTGGGCTCTTAACCAGCTCTAAATAAAACTGAAAATTGTAAGAACTCTAAAAATTTTCCAGACAGCTAAAGTACATGCTTTTGCTTATAGTCTCCAAAGGTGACTACTTAAAAAATCACACTTAGTGATTTCATATACATTTATGTAAAAATCAGTTGTTTCTTTGTCACACCTTATATATTTTCTCCTATACTGCTTAGATTGCTGATTCTCATATTATGTGAATATTGATCTCTGCTGTTCCTCATTTCTTATCTTTCTCTTGCTACTAACAAAAAGAATAGATTACTGTGTGAATTAGCTTCTTATTCAATACCTTTCCAAATCCTATTGCTCTCCATCAGACCACAAAGCTGTGACCCTTCAGGATCCTTGATAACTTAAAACAAATACCATTCTGGCTTGGAGAAACGAAAAATGTAACATCTGTATTGAAAGATGATTCACACATCACAACATTCACCCATGGAAAGTATATAATTCAGGGGGCCGGCCCCGTGGCTTAGCGGTTAAGTGCGCGCACTCCGCTACTGGCGGCCCGGGTTTGGATCTGGGGTGCGCACCAACGCACCGCTTATCCAGCCATGCTGAAGCGGTGTCCCACATACAGCAACTAGAAGGATGTGCAACTATGACGTACAACTATCTACTGGGGCTTTGGGGAGAAAAGGGGGGAAAAAAAAGGAGGATTGGCATGGATGTTAGCTCAGGGCTGATCTTCCTCACAAAAAAAAAGAAAGAAAAGAAAGTATATAATTCAATGGTTTTAGTATATTTGCAGAGTTGTGCAACCATCACCACAATCTGAGTTTAGGACATTTTCATCACACAAAAAAACTGTGCTCTCCATTCCCTTCCCCTTCTAGTCCAGGAACCATTAATCTATTTTCTGTCATTATCTACGTCCAGATATGCCTATTCTGGACATTTCATATAAACAGAATCATATAATATGTGGTCTTTCCTGGAATTTGTTTATTTCACTTAGCATACCATTTTCAAGTTCATCCATGTTGTAATATATATCAGTGCTTGCTTCACAGATTTTCTCCCATTATCTGAATCATCTTTTCACTTTCTTAATATCATTTGCAGCACAACGGTTTTTAATTTTGATGTTGTCTGGTTTTTCTATTTTTTCTTTTGTCGCTTGTCCTTTTGGTGTTGTATCTAAGAAACCATTGCGTGATCCAAGCTCACTGAGATTACTGTGTGTTCTTTTAAGAGTTATAGTTTTAACTCTTACTTTAAGTCTGTGATCCACTGGAGTTAATTTATGTATGATGTAAGGAACGGGTCCAGGGTCTTTCTTGTGTAAGTGGCTATCCAGTTGACCTAGCACTGTTTGATGAGAAGACTATTCTTTCCCCTGTTGAATTGTCTTGTTACCTTTGTCAAAAGTCAGTTGACCATAAATGTAAGGGTTTATTTCTGGACTCTGAGTTCTAGTCCATTGATCTATATGTATATCCTCATGCCATAACCACACTGTCTTAATTGATGCAACCATGTAATAACTTCTGAAATCAAGAAGTATGAGTCCTCCAACTTTGTTCTTCTTGTTCAAGACTGTTTTGGCTATTCTGGGTCTCTGGCATTTCCGTATGAATTTTATGATCAGCTTGTCAATTTCTGCCAAAAAGCAAGCTAGGGTTTTGATGGGTATTTTATTGTATCTGTGGATCACTTTGGCGAGTATTGTCATCTTAGCAATATTAAGTCTTCCAAATCATGAACATATGATGTCTTTCTGCTTATTTAGATCTTCATTAATTTCTTTCAGCAATGTTCTGTAGCTTTCAGTATACGTCTTGCACTTCATTGTTAAATTCTTAAGAATTTTATTCTTTTTTGATGCTACTGTAAGTGGAACTGTTTCCTTAATTTTATTTTCAGACTGTTCATTGGTAATACATAGAAATACAATTTATTTTTGTCTATTGATCTTGTATCCTGCAAGCTTGCTGAACTCACTTATTCCAGTTGTTAGTGGATTCCTTACGATTTTCTATATACAGTATACATCACTTGCAAATAAAGAGAGTTTACTGCTTTCTTTCTAATCTGGATGTTTTTTATTTCTTTTTCTTGCCTAATTGCCCTGGCTAGAGCCTCCAGTACAATGTTGAATAGAAGTGGTGAGAGCAGACATCCTTGTCTTGTTCCTGATCTTAGAAGGAAAGCATTCATTCTTTTACCATTAAATATGACGTTAGCTGTGGGTTTTTTACACATGCCCTTTATCACATTGAGGAAGATCTCTTCTGTTTCTAGCTCCCTGAGTGTTTTTATCATGAAGAGGTGTTAGATTTTGTCAAAAGGCTTTTTCTGAGTCTATTGAGATGATCTTGTGGGTTTTGTCTTTAATAAGACAAAAATACACTAGTTTACTTAATACACTATTAATATGGTATATTAGGTTGATTGATTTTCGTGGCAAACTAATCTTGCATTTCTGGGATAAATCTACTTGGTAGTAATATATAGTCCTTTTTATATGTTGCTGGATTCAGTTGCTAATATTTTGTTGAGGATTTTTGCATTTATTTCAAAGGATATTGATCTATAGTTTTCTTTTTTGTAATATCTTTGCCTGGTTTTGTTGTCGGGTTAATACCAGCCTCATAGAATGAGTTGGGAAATGCTCTCTCTCCTCTTCTGTTTTTTGGAAGAGTTTGTGAAGGATTGGTATTAATTCTTCTTTAAATGTCTTAGAAAATTTTGATAGCGAGTAGACTGAGATAGGAAATTGCTGTTCAAAGCCAAAATCCAAGGAAATTGCTCCAAAATGGACATTCTAAACAAGGCTATGGAAGAAAATGAGAAGTCCTTTTTCCACTGCAGCATTTGATGGTCATCTTACTTTCAAGCCTGTCCCAGCACAGTAGCAGCCTCTCTAACGAGGGTGGAGGGGGTCCCCAATAGGGAGATGTAGAGAAGGCCAGTCTTTCGTGAAGCAGAGAAAAAGTAACCTCTGAAGGCAAAGAGAATATACTTTGTCCCTGGAAGTCTGTGACATTGCTCAATTCTTGAGCTGCTTTCTCTCCAAATCTCTGTGCACTGGAGAACTTAGAGTTGCTCCCTCCTGTCCAGAAGTGACCTCTGATCATTCTCCACTCCTCCTTCTTTGCCCACAGCTCCCACTTAACTTAGACCCCCATCATCCCTATCAGAGGGCCTCTTGTGGTTACATCGATTTCAGTTCAAACACAGTACCTTTTATTAACGTCATACTTCCTGGTAATCAAAGCACTAGTGTAATGAAATAAAAATGAAAGAGGACTGTTGTGAAGCATGACGAGAATAAAATTGGAGTGTAGCTGAAGCCACAAGTGTGGAAACCTGAAAGCAGAAGTTAATTTAACAAAGTAAGATGGTTTTTCTCTGTGTCTGCCTTTTTCCCCCCGTGGGTCATTTTCTCTGCAATTCTTCTTCTGACAGCACCGTGCCAGCCTGTCCTCCAAGGCTCTGCCCTCATTCATCTTGCCTGGAAGAAATCTTCCTGTCTCAGACTATTGCACACTAGGCTCCAACCAAACCAGCAAGCCCAAATATTTTATACCAGCAGTTTTCTGCTTAATGAGCCGCAAACAGACTTCTCCTTCTGGTTGACAACGTTCCACGAGACAATGTATTCAAAGAGGGTTAAAGACCAGAGAAGCCTCTGAGGCAGTAGTTAGCTCCAGAACTGAGACGGAGATGGATGCCCCTCACTGTGGACAACTTGAGGTCGGTTCTTGATGGGCTGACGTTTCCTCCTCTGCCCCCCTTACTTCCTGACTGTCCAACAGGATCCTGGCATATTGGTCCACATTATTTGTACGTTCCTCTCCTCCTGATCCTGTGCTTCCTGTAGAGTCTTCATTTTATTTTAGTTGTGGTTGTTTCTTACGGATACCTGTTCAAGAACTCTGTTTACCTCTTTCTTAGACCTTCTATCAAATCATCTCTGTATTATTCTCGTGATCCTTTGTCAGTTCACATCTTATGTTTATTCTTATTCATTGGCTTCCTTAATGCTTGAAGATTCTAGAGGGGAGTCTCTGTCTGGATGGTTCATAACAAATAGATGGTATTTCCAAATCCCGTTAGACTTAAACTCAGAGTTCAAATGTGGGCTCTTAGGTCGTTTTCTCTTCAGAAAAGTTTGGAATTCGGATTATGAGGTAGTTATAATCATTATTAAAACAAACTGAATATGTGAATATTGTGGAAGGTAAAATTAATCCTAAGCAGAATTAAATTTTAGTTTCACAGAGAAGATTAACATTAATACTATGGCTAGTGACCATACCAGCCAACAGCATAGTTATTTCTAAGTTATTATTATTCAAAGTTTACAAATAACTTTGATACTTGCCTTTTATCTTATTAACTGACAGTCTTGATACTCTTCAGAATTTTACACACACACAAAAATGTAAATGTTGCTTTTTGATGACTCATTCCAAAGGTTTATAGTTGGCCTAGTAAAATCATTTCTTTAAAAAAAGGAAAAAAGCTATACTGCTACTAAAACAGTGGAATAGAAACAGCTTAGAAAATGGTTAGTAAATAGAAGCATAGCTTCTCCCCCGAAATATAAATTATTCAAGAGAAAACACCTTTTTCTCTTCCTTACACGTTGTTATGCTATTGTTACTTCATGTCTCTAATTATAATTTTTATCAAAATGGCATAATCTCTAATTGGTCAACAAAAAGTTAATGCCTATTATTACTCATCAATGTGTTGGATAGCATAAGAGATTTAAATTTTTTCCTGTATTATCCCTGCCCTACAGTGAGTTTAGAAAATAGTTAAGGGGACAGAACAAACTAGTAATAGTAATGGTTAACATTTGTAGAGCATTTAAAGTAATGAACTCACGATGCTAAATTCTTTATAAGAAGAAAGACTTTTATTGATAGCCAAGTGTCACGCAGCAGAACCAGAGTCAAACACAAGTCTGATTAGAGCAGGGGTTCCTCACCCCACCTTGAGCACACTGGGGTGCCGCCCGCACAGTACTGAGGACGTGCGCCAGGATTTGGGTTGTAGACTGAGTGGTCAGAAGAGCCTTCAGTGGAGGACCTGGGTTTTGTTTTTTTGTTGGTGGTAGGTGTTTTTTCAGTGGAAAAAATTGTTTTTATTGTGGTAAGAATGCAGCATGAGATATACCCTCAACAGATTTTTCAGTATACAATACAGATTAACTACAGGTACAGTGTTGCACAGCAGATCTCTAGAACTTAATCATCTTGCACAACTGAAACTTTATACCCTTTAAACAGCAACTCCCTGTTTCTCCTTTCCCCTAGCCCCTGTCAACCACCCTTCTACTCTCTGTTTCTATGAGTTTGACTATTTTAGATACCTCATATAAGTAGAATCATGCAGTATTTGTCCTTCTGTGACTGGCTTATTTCACTTAGCATAATGTCCTCCAAGTTCATTCATGTTGTTACATATGGCAGGATTTCCTTCTTTTTCAAGGCTGAATAATATTCCATTGTATGTATATACCAATTTCTTTATCCATTCATCTGTCAATGGACATTTAGATTGTTTACACATCTTGGCTACTGTGAATAATGCTGCACTGAACATGGGAGTGCAGATATCTCTTCAAGATCCTGATTTGAGTTATCAAAAAAAAAAAAAAAACACAAGAGATAACAAATGTTGGCGAGGATGTGGAGAAATTGGACCTCTTGTACACTATTGGTGGGAATGTAAAATGGTGCAGCCACTATGGAATACAATATGGTGGTTCCTCAAAAAATTGAAAATAGAATTACCATGTGATCCAGCAATCCCACTTCCTGGTATATACCCAAAGGAGGGCCTGGGTTTTAAATTGGAAGCTGGAGGGAACACAGACCTAAGTGAGAGTTAGGGAGTGGAAAAGATCAGATAAACAGTGATTCTAGTAAAGGAATTCCAACAAGCCACACACTGGGGATAGAGCACTGTGGTGTCCATTGATTAAACAGAAATCAAGAATCTCTAACCATGCACCACACATAACTTCAGTTCTGCTCTAGACAGCTAAAGATTGTGTTTTTCTTTTGCTCACACAAGAAATTTGATGCCAAGTGTAAGACTTGCATAAAGTTCTTAAGGAATTTCATATTAGCTGGATGATAGAGTGGAAAGATAAAAGAGAAACTGCCAATAGTGGTTAGTTTGGGGGAGAATAAAGAGTCAGAAGGAAAAGAGGAGAAGAAATTACACTTTTTTTTTCTTAAGGTAACGTCACTATTATTTTTTTTTTTGCTGAGGAAGATTTGCTCTGAGCTAACATCCATTGCCAGTCTCCCTCTTTTCTTCCTTTTCCTTTTTTTTTTTTAGTGTGAGCCGCCACCACAGTATGGCTGCTAACAGATGAGTAGTGTAGGTCCACACTGGGAACCAAACCTGGGCTGCCAAAGCGGAGCGTGCCGAACTTAACCATTAGGCCACCGGGCCTGGCCCAAAAATTACACTTTTTGCTTTCTAACTTTCTATACAGTTTGAAATTTTTTCTTTTCATTTGCATATGTAGTATGTTTGCAGAATATTAACCCAACTTAACAGTGGCTTACCATTGTGAAGAAAGAAGGGAAGACTTTTATTTACTTTGTGCATTCTTGATGCCTTTTGGCTGAAAGTCAGGGAAGCTATATTTTTAATTGATACATTATTTAATTATGTATATTTTTCTTTTACAGATACCCAGGTGTTCTTTCTGATATCCAGGAGGAAAAAGGCATTAAGTACAAATTTGAAGTATATGAAAAGAATGATTAATGTGAAGACGTTTTCTGATTATTTCAAGTTGTTCCTCCTCCTCTCCAAAAAATTATATATCTTAACGATAGAAAAAAAGACTTTTGTTCACTTTAGATCTATGGATAATTATTTCTAAGCAATGTGTTTTTATTCCCCATTAATTGTAACTAGACCATTCAAATACCATTGGTGAGGGCTGTCCCCGTGGCTTAGCAGTTAAGTGCGCACACTCCGCTACTGGAGGCCTGGGTTCGGATCCCGGGCGCGCACTGCCGCACCGCTTCTCCAGCCATGCTGAGGCCACGTCCCACATACAGCAACTAGAAGGATGTGCAACTATGACA